GCTAGGGCGATGCGGGCACCCCTGGCGTGCAGCCCCTGCGGGCACCATGAGGCCCCTGCTCCGCCGCCTGCTGCTAGCCGCGCTCCTGCAGCTGGCCCCGGCCCAGGTATGTGCGTACCGACATCCCGCCCTCCCGCGGTGCCCTCTCTCAAGGTTGGCGGAAGTGGGGAGGCACCGAGCAGCGTCGGCCGAGGGGGTCCGGCCTCGAATGCGGGCACTTCGGGACCCTGGCCCAGGCATCCTCTGAGAGGTGCCTCTCCCTGCCGGCCCGCCAGCCCAGCCCCAGGGCCACTCCTCTGCTCCACCCCGTCCCCTGGGCGCCGCCGGGGGCGGAGCTGCCTCAGTGCCCACAGGACCTGGTTTGGCGCCCACTGTGCCGGCTCCTGACCTGCAGCCCCCAGAACAAGCCGGGCCCTGAGGCTTGGAGATTTGACGCCGCCAGCAGAAGGCGCCTGTCGGGTCTCGGGCCAAGGCAGGTCCCAGGTGCCCAGGAGAGGACAGGTAAAGCTAGAGCAGTGGCCTCAGGAACAGAGCAATCTGGAAAGATGTCAGAGAGGTGGTGAAACCTCCTGATGTGAGGGCAGAGCCCTGGGGCAGCGACAGGGCTAGCCCCTTCTAGTGTGTACCTTGGGTTCACATCTCTTTTCTCCACAGGCCCCTGTCTCCCAGCTTGATGCTCCTGGTCACCAGAAGAAAGGTAATGGTAGCAATAACTTGGCACTGGGCAGCACTAAGAGGGTTTGCCACAGGCCCTGATTCCAGGCTCCTTGTTCCATCATCTTGTGTAAACATAACTGTCCAATAAGAGACAAACTATGATTCTGCCCATTTAATAGAGAAGGTAATTGAGGCAGTGGGGTTACTAGGTTCTGGATAAACAGCAGGGGAGGACAGAGGGGAGATGCATGAAGAGGGCTGGTGGAGGGTGGCTGTCACTCCAGGACTGGGGAAGACAGCTGCTGGGAGCAGCTGTAGGAGACCCACTGTGGACTAACTCTTACCCATTTGTCCATAGTGGTATCATGGATAGACGTGTATGCTCGAGCCACCTGTCAGCCACGGGAGGTGGTGGTGCCCCTGACTATGGAGCTCATGGATACTGTGGCCAAACAACTGGTGCCCAGCTGTGTGACTTTGCAGCGTTGTGGTGGCTGCTGCCCTGACGATGGCCTGGAGTGTGTGCCTATTGGGCAGCACCAGGTCCGGATGCAGGTACTGGAGCAGGTAGAACTGCAGGATAGGGTGGATGCTGGTGCTCTAGGGGCCAAGCCAGCCCAGAGACTGAGGCAGAGGAGGCTGAGGGGTCAGTGGCCAGGGTCCTGACTGTTGGATGAGCTTCTCTTCCTCCATCCTTGGAACATCCCCTTTCTCTGTCTCCTTTTCCCTTACTACCTCTCTCCTCATTCTTCTGAGCACAGATCCTCATGATCCGGTACCCAAGCAGTCAGCTGGGGGAGATGTCCCTGGAAGAACACAGCCAATGTGAATGCAGGTGCCAGCCAGGCCCAACTTCTGAGCTTGTAGAATCCAGGCTTGGGGGGAGCTGGGTATGGTGGTTCACTGCAGTGGGGACCAGGTTTCTAAGAACAGAGCCAGAGGTAGGTCTCAGCTCTGGGGTGAGAGAACAGGATGCTTGGATTTCCTGATCCTCCTTTTCTGTCTCTGTCCGTCTCCTTTATGTTTCAGACCAAAAAAAAGAGAGAGTGCTGTGAAGCCGGACAGGTGAGTCTCTTGACTCCAGCTGAGGGGGAACAAGGGGTGTATGAGTGAGTCAGGAAGTTGTGGTCCCTTCCCCTCCTCCTCCCGCTTCTTTTTCCTCCCCTTTTCTTCTGCTCCCCATCTCTGTATGCTATGCCCTGACCCCAGCTCCTGGGAAGACTCTTCCTTCCCACCCCAGACGTGTTGCTTCTCCTCCTAGGGCTGCCATTCCCCACCACCGTCCCCAGCCCCGCTCTGTTCCGGGCTGGGATTCTGTCCCCGGAGCACCCTCCCCAGCTGACATCACCCATCCCACTCCAGCCCCAGGCCCCTCTGCCCACGTTGCACCCAGCGCCGCCAGCGCCCTGACCCCAGGACCTGCCACTGCCGCTGCCGACGCCGCAGCTTCCTCCGTTGCCAAGGGCGGGGCTTAGAGCTCAACCCAGACACCTGCAGGTGAGAAGCCTGCTGGATGGCATTGGTTTGGGAAAGCATCAAGGCTTTGTTCTGGACCAGGTCCAGGGTGCACCTTCCAATGGGAAGAGAGTCAGGGAAGGGGAAGCTAGTGAATGTGTTGAACAAATATTTACCAAGAGTCTGCTGGCGCTGAGATCAGTATGAACAAGGCTCATCTTCTAACACAGAGTTGGAAAAGAGGGCAAGTGATGCCAGCAGAGGATGTCCATGGCTGTGGTGTGGGGAATCTGGCCTCATCTTTGAGAGGTCAGAGATCTCCTGTAGGAAGTAACATTTTCCCAAATAGAACTGAGGGAGACAGCTTTTCCATTTTGCAAAGTTTGGGCCTTCCCAGAAACCCCTGTGGTAGACATTTGCTCTACCTTATGGACTCTTTGAGAGGTCAAGAGACAAAGCGGAATCCTTGTCTGCCTTTGTCTGTAGAGCTTCTTGCCACCCCTGCATCCCATGGTGAGGCCATGGGGTGACATCCTATGGGCTAGGTCAATGGGGGCTTCCTAGGAGTATTAGGAAGGAATGGGGCTCACAGAAGTAAGAAGAGAGTGAAGCAAGAGGAACCATGGTTGAGTTCAGCCAGCACGAACAGACTCCTCCTTCCCCTCAGGTGCCAGAAGCTACGAAGATGACTTTTCAGACTCAGCATGGCCACTTGCCTCACAAAGCCACACACCAGTGGGGGAGAAAAGGGGAGTCTGGTGAGAACAGTCCAGATCCCAAGATCTCTGCCCGGGTGGAAGCTGCTCCAGGACCTGGGCCTCTTAGAGGGCTACCCCGCCATCCTTTTTCTCTCTGAGGCAGTCAAGAGGTAGACAGAGTTGGAGGAGGAGATTTGGAGGCAGCAAGAGGGTCATATCCCAGCTTAGGGGAGAATGGGGTACTGTCTCAGTTTTTAACCATGCTATGCAAGTGAGCATTTTACAACTGGCTCCTCCCTCCTCTTACTAAGAAGACCTCAAACCTCTATGAATAATGGGATTCGGGCTTTGTTACAAGAACTGTGACCTCTTCCCCCCAACCCTGATAAAAGAGATGGAAGGAGATATTCTTGCTGTATCACTATTTGTTACCATCCAGGCTAGCTGGTTTGGGTATCACTGCCTCTGAGACCCAAAGCTTGTCTTGATCCTATGTGTGGATGGAGATGAAACCCAATGCCCCACAGCAGATCCCAGGCAGCCAGAATCATATATTAATCACTTTCCTGTTGTTATTGCAAGGCACTGGGGGATCAGGGACAGCCCAGGTGTTGCAGAGTGCTTACCTCCTGCTTATCACAAGAGTTCCCGTCTAAGACAGGGTGTGGTAGCTCACACCTATAATCCCAGCACTTGGGAGGCCAGGGTGGGTGGATTGCCCTGAGCTCACAGGTTCAAGACCAGCCTGAGCCAGAGCAAGATCCATCCCTAAACACTAGCCAGGCATTAGGGGGGTGCCTATAGTCCCAGCTACTTGGGAGGCTGAGGCAAGAGAATCACTTGAGCCCAGGAGTTTGAAGTTGCTGTGAGCTATGACACCACAGCACTCTACCAAGGGCAACAAAGTAAGACTTTGTCTGGAAGGAGAGGGCCTCCTATGGCCAGTGTGCTTGAGGTGGGACCCATATCTACTGGGTGACCTTGGTTGTCATTGCCTCTGTCTTTCTGAGCCTTTTTCCCTCCACATGTGCACACAGAGGGAACAGGTGATTGCTGTGGTTGGGGCACTTGGGGTCCAGAGAAATTTGAATCTGTCTTCACATAATAAGAAAAACAATACTCATTTTCCCTGCTGGGCAGCACTATTTGCTCCCTGTAGCTTAACTCTAAAGCCACATACATCAGCTGGGTGCAGTGGCTCATGCCTATCATCCCAGCACTCTGGGAGGCCAAGGCGGGTAGACTGTCTTAGCAAGGCCAGACTGCGTCTTTACTGAAAAAAAAAAAAGAACAGCCAGGTGTTATGGCAGGTGCCTGTAGTCCCAGCTACTCTGGAGGCTGAGGCAAGAGGATCACTTGAGCCCAAGAGTTTGAGGCTATTACACCACCACACTCAACCCCAGGGTGACTGAGACTGTCTCAAAAAAAATAAAGCTACATACCTGGGAATTGTGGAAGGTACCTGTAGTCCCAGCTACTCGGGAGGTTGAGGCAAAAGAATGGCCTATGCCTAGGAGTTGGAGGTTGCTGTGAGTGGTGTGATGCCACAGCACTCTACCAAGAGCAATAAAGTGAGGCTCTGTCTCTACAAAAATAAAATAAAGCTACATACCTCACTCGTACCTCCCTGAAGAGGAAACACCAAGTGTCTATGGCTGGTGGGCCTGGGTCCCCACACCCCAGCCGGTGTCTTCTCCACCTTTACCTCCTTTGTGCTCTCTGGCTCCCCAGGTCAGCTGCTGCCTGAGACTCCTGGCTTGTCTGACCCACATCAAGCTCAACATGCACCCTTCTCCCTGCATCCTCAGTACTGGAGGCTGAGTGGTGAGGTGGTGGACAGAAGGCCAGCCTGGCACCAATGCTTGAGGCAGGACATTGACGGGCAGAGTTAACCCAAGTAGCCATCCTACTGGAGGCTTTCCCTGAGGTGTTGGGTTGGAGGGTGTGGGCCCAAGGCAGGAGTGGGTTAAACTGGAAGAGAGTTCCTGACAGCAATTACTACTTTCAAATTGTTTTCTTAGCCATGATGTCACTGATGACACCCTGAGCCAACTAAAGAGGCAGATGAGGGTTAGGTACCTCCCAAACCCACCTAGCAATGCTTCGTGCACCCCCTCATTTCTTTGATTGCCTTTTTCAACTGAGGAAACAGACTCAAAAAGGCTAAATGAAGGGCCAGGCACGGTGGCTCACGCTTGTAATCCCAGCACTTGGGAGGCCAAGGTGAGTGGATTGCCTGAGCCAGAGCCAGAAAACAGCAGGATGTTGTGGCAAGCAACTGTAGTTCCAGCTACTTGGGAGGTCAGGCAAGGGAATGGCTTGAGCCCAAGAGTTTGGGGCTGGTGTGAACTGATGCCATGGCACTCTACCGAGGGTGACAAAGTGAGACTCTTGTCTCAAAAAGAAAGGCAAACTGGCCTGGGTATTTGACCTAAAGTCAGCAGTCTAACCCTCAACCTAGGTTTAGGTGCCTCTTCAGCTGACAGATGTTTCATGGGTGCTGGCACCCCTGAAAAGAACAGTCCAATGAGGCGAACCTAGACCATTCCAGTCATGAAGTGCGCGCAGGGCCAGGTAGGCCTGGCTGCCAGAGAGAGTAGCGGGCGGGAGCATCTGCTGTAGGCCACAGCCTGGCGCTGCACATCGTCTTTGTTCTACATAGGCCCTGTAGGATGTTATCAAGCCTGTGTTGGACGCCAAGGTCACACAGCCAGTCAACCAATGGCAGACGTGGAATTCAAACCTAGGTCTCAGAGTGAAGCCCAGGCCCTTTCCACAACTCACTGGTGACTGTGGGCCCCTGAAGAGGCCAGGGGCAAGCAGGAGCGCTGTGGCAAAGACTGGTGGCAAAAAAAATGGCACATCGAGACCACCTCCAGGAACCCACGCCCACCTGACCCTAATGTCATTTCGGCCGGAAGTGCCTTTGGCCCTTTTTGGCAGTCACCCTTAAAGACTACTTCTCTGCCGGAAGTGGTGCAGATCACATGACAGAGCGAAGGCGGGGCTAAGGAAGAAGACGTGCCAGCAAGGCGTGGCGAGCGGGTTTCGCACGGTCCAATGAGGGAGGGCGGCGTGGCCCGGTCTGGTAGCGACGAGAACGCGCCTGCGCAGAGGCAGCAGCACGACCGGGGTTGACTCCGGGGGCGCGGCGAGGAGGTGAGAGGGGGCCACAGCCCGGGCTGGGGGGAGCCGGGGTTCAAGAGGGCAGGCTGGATCAGACCGGGCAGAAGCAGACCGAGGCTCCAAGTGTCAACGACAGCTAGGTGACGAGGAAATTGGCGGTTGGGATCGGAGCTGTCTGGAGATGCCGCAGGGGGAGGGTCCTCACGCCGCACGGGGCGGAGTCCTTGGACTTGGGGCGGGACGAGTGACTGAGACGGGTGGGACCTCCGAGCCGGTGCCAGTGGAAGGTGGAGCCTGGCGTCTGAGGGCAGGGCTAGAAGGGGTGGAGGGAGGAGTCTGGCTTGAGGAGGAGGGGCTAGAGCAGGTGGAAGGGGGAGCTTCAGGTTTGAAGACAGAAGAGGAGGGAAAGCAGGCGCTGGGGGCGGGCCTTCAGCTGGTGAGTGACGAGGTTACGGTTACGGAAAAGGGGTCTAGCTCTGTCAGGGGCGGGGCTGCAGGGCCTGGGGCGAAACCACGCTCTCTAAAGGGCGGAGCCAAGGAGCCAGGCGGAGAGCTGGGCACTAGTAATGGCCCGGGGCGTCCACGCGGGGGCGGTCTCCGTGGTGGTCGGGCCTGGGGACGCGGTAGGCCGAGAACTCCCCCGGGAGAGGTGGTATGGGTGGAGCGGGCTCGACGGCCAGCAGACACAGGGCCAGTCTGGGTGCCCCGGAGACCCCCGAGAGCTCAGAGCTGGGGAGGCGCCCCAGGTGGAGGCACAGGGCCGGCCTGGGGAGTACCTCCGGAGGACCCGGGCTCTTCGGAACCATCCAGCGGGGATGTATGGGTACCTCGGGGCCGACCCCCTGCAGCGGCCGCAGAGGTGTTGGTGTGCTGGGCCGGGGGCAGCTGGGTGTGGCGTGAGTGGGGCAGCCCAGTCAGGGCAACAGCTGCGCAACCAGATAGGGTCTGGACTTTGCGTAAAGGGACGAGTGGGAACTGAAGAACGGAGGTGGGAACCGGGAGGGAGGAAAGATCTGGGGGTGAGCAAAGGGGCGGGGCCCTGGCTGCTGTGGCCTCCCCTGACCCCATACCCTCGCTGCTGGGGTCCTCGGCCAAGTCCCCTTCTCTCTGGACTGGTAAGTGTGGCCGCAGAGCCCAGGGGAGAGGGTGGTAACCCGGGAAGAGGGGATCCCCAGGGGCAGGCGAAGTACGGTGGGATGGAATCTTCCTGGTACCTGCCCAAGTTCGATGCCTTCCCTGCCCTCCTCCCCGTCAGTCGGTCGGTCGGGGTCTGTGCCTGCAGAGACATGAGGCTGAGCTGGGTCCTGACAGTACTATCCATCTGCCTGAGTGCCCTGGCCACGGCTACGGGGGCAGAAGGCAAACGGAAGCTGCAGATCGGGGTCAAGAAGCGGGTGGATCACTGTCCCATGAAATCTCGAAAGGGGGATGTCCTACATATGCACTACACAGTGAGTGATGGGGATGAAGTTTCGGGCGTGGGTGGGGCTTCTGGGGATCAGAAAGGACTTAAAAACCTGATTCCTCCACCAACCAGGTGGGTGACCTTGGGCAATTCCATTCTACCTTGCCCTTCACTTCCTACTCCCCAGCTGGGCATCAGTAAGCAGTGACAGTGTGCTTTTAGCTGCCCCAAACTCTGTTCCCTTCAGGGACCACCAGTGTTGTGAGGGAAGAGCAGCTCAGTGGAGGTTGGGGTGGTCCTCTCCTCACTGGCCTTCCCATGGTCCCACAGGGGAAGCTGGAAGATGGGACGGAGTTTGACAGCAGCCTGCCCCAGAACCAGCCCTTTGTCTTCTCCCTTGGCACAGGCCAGGTCATCAAGGGCTGGGACCAGGGGCTGCTGGGGTGAGTTGCGGATGGGGTTGGGGTTGGGGTGTGCATGGCCACGGTCCAGGAGGTGAACTGTGTGAGGCAAGCCCCAGAGGTGGGGCAGGAGCAGGGAGGCTGTGTGCTGTCACTTGCTGAGTACGTGTTATTCTGCAGGATGTGTGAGGGGGAAAAGCGGAAGCTGGTGATCCCATCAGAGCTGGGTAAGGGCCCTTCCCAAGGTGTGCAGAAGGCTGGGGTGTGACTGGGAGTGAAGGGCTGTTTTAGCCTCTCATTAGTCTTTATATAATCTATTATAATACCTGCCTCTTCCATGTCAGACAGTACCTAGAAGTGAGGATAGGGCAAGACCCTTGGGGCACTGTGCTGCCCATTCTTTGCCCTCTCGCTGGGGGGTGGAGGGCAGAATTCTGGCTGCCTGTATAACACTACCTTCCCCCCCAGCCCCTTTGCCTGAGCAGCTGGGAGGGAGCCTGGTTATAGATGTTTCTTCTTGTATCTTCTACAGGGTATGGAGAGCGGGGTGCTCCCCCAAAGATTCCAGGTAATACTATACCTTCTTACCCTCCATCCCCAGCAGCCATCACATCTCCTTGTGGCCCTAGCTCACATTCTGACCTCACTTCTCCCCTACAGGTGGTGCAACCCTGGTGTTCGAGGTGGAGCTGCTCAAAATCGAGCGACGTTCAGAACTGTAGCCAGACTGAGGAGGAGCAGTGGGGAGAGGGCCACATCAGGGACCAGACTGTTAAAAACAAAAAAACAAAAAACCCTTAAAAGCCCAAAGAATGACCCTGTGTTTCTTTTGGGGCCTTGAGACACAGACCACAGGTCCAGTCTCCCTCTCCTTTAGCAGCTCCAGACTCCCTTCTCCTTGCCTGTCTGCAGAGTCTTGGGGGTCTAGGCTCAATGGCATGGTAGCCCTTACCCAGATAGAAAAAGAAGCGTTCCTGCCTGTCAATGGCAACACTGCTCTCCCCTCCTCCACAGCTCCCCAGCCTCTTCCAGCTCCTGGTCTGGGAGCCAGCACTGAGCTATCGCCATGACTACGTGGCCCTCAGGAAGGCCTGCGGTCACCTGGGGAGAAGCTGCACTGGCAGCAATAGTAAAAGTAGCCTGACCCCCCCAAAAGAGACCAGCCAAGCCTGTTAGCTTCACCAAAGGCATATCCTAGCTTTTATTAAAGGGTCCGCGCCGCAGTCAATATAAAAACACAAAAAGTCCCATCAGTTTAATAACAATAAAAAACCCCAAAAGTGGAAAACTGAGGACAGGGGAAGAGGTCCCTGGGCCAGGGGCACAAGGAGCCCTGCTCATGGCACCAGGCCTGGCCGCAGGGTCCCCAGTATTGCTGTTGCTACGAGGTTGGGGGGCTGCGATTGTCCTGTGGGAGCCACCATTCACCTGGGTCGGGGACCCTTACTTCTTCTGGGGTGTGCTCAGCTTCTGCATGCCCCGGATCTTGTCCAGCAGGCCAGAGATGAAGGCCTGGACAGGAAGGTGGATGTTAGTGAGACCAGACTCCAAGATGACAGGAGCTTGGGCTCCCCTCACCCCACCCTCGGGGGGAATCACTTACCTCAGTGGGTTTGTAACAGTCAACCAGCAGCTCCTAGCAGGGCATTGGCGGGTGGGGGGAATGAGTACACAGTGAGTTTTTTTTTCTTTTTTTTTTTTTTGTAAAGACAGTCTCACTTTTTTGCCCTTGG